GTGTAGTTGTAACTAGTGACTAGATGGCGCTTATATAAATTTAATTTTATTATTTATTAATTATTAATTATTTGTAATTACTTTATAAAGCATATATATAAAAATTATTTACCACATATTGGATCTTACAATAAAAAAGTAAATATTTTTATTTAATTTTTTCATACTAGGGTGTAAAATTATAAGAATATTTATAATTTTACACCCTGGCAAATTTCATGACGGAAGCCGAAGGGAGGGGATCTTGAACGACTAAACATTGATTATTTGATTGATCCAATACAGTTTAGTAAGTCGAATCATTTTATTTTTTAAATTATAATTTTAAATCTATATAGTCTAATAATTTATTAATCATTTGAAAGTAGCAACATTGATGTATTTTTCATTTTTTAAGTTAAAAATTTGTTGATTGATCCAAATTTAACCTGCAAATCGACTAAATAAAATTGAAATTAGTATAAAATCATTTTGATATATATGGCATCCCTAGAAACAATTGAATGAACTGTCAAACAGAAAACCGTTTTCAATTTTTACGATTTTATGTTTTGGATTTTCTTTCTTTATTATAACGATTTCACTACTTTGTTTCACTACGGCTTGTACTTCAGGACTTTGTTTCTTTTGTGATTCGGATATTGTTAAATTGGAAATGTCTGCGAAAAAGTGTTGTGTTACTAATTGTGATAAAACTCGTAAGTTATTAAACGGTACCAAAATAAATTTCCCAGAAGATGCTGTGCAAAATCAATGTTTCCAATATTTAAAAAAAAGACACAATAAATAGTTTCTTACATATTTCTTGTATTATTTATTTTGTAGCCATACAATGTTCTATATAACAACAACAAATACAAGTGCTACGTAACTATACATGAGTACTCGATGCTAAGTATAGTTATATATATGAGTACTTGTAACTCCGTAACTACCCGCTTGGCGCGCTGCAATCGCCTAGCTAGAGTTAATACTCTATCTCATACTATTCAATATACTCTGTGGAAGGCACGAGATAGCAGTGTCTCCCGTGGCAGAAAGCCGGACTTATATATCTTCGGTTAACGAAGCTTCCAGAAAATAACCCCTCTTCAACATTTTACTTTGACATTTAACATCAGTGAACACAGAAGATCAAAACTGTAGTTATAAACTACCTTAGATAAATTAAAAACAATGCAACGCGGCTAATAGATGTAGCTTTTAACAAGACCAACAAATGTACAAAAAAATAACTGTTACCGGTGCTTATGATGGACTCGGACCGACTACGCACGTCGTCTCGGGTAACAGTAACCCGGGAAACAGGTGTACCTTAGAAAGGAACTCACTGGGTACGCCTTAAAATAAATTCTGATGTCTGTAATACCGATAACGACTTGATGACTTATATTGAAAGTAACTTTAACTACCTAACTATCTAGTACATAGAAAGTTAAGTAATTTAGGTGAAATAAACCGTGCAAGAATATTGAACATTGTGTCGCCGATAGAGATTATTTGCCATACTAATACGAACTCTGAGGCACCTAGTCTATGTCTCATGAAAAAAACCGGTCAGGTAGGAGTCGAACTCGTGCGCCGAGGGTTCCGTACCCACCCAGATTTTACGTAGATATTCGCGAAAATTTGTAAGTACAAACATTTATCTTAATTTTCAACTTCATTCCTTTATTTGTGCTGGTATTTGTGGTTATACCTCAGTATCTGGTGTAACTTTCAACTTGCTAGGTCGTTCCTGAGAAAATCGGTGGTGACACACGGACAGACGGACAAGAAAGTGATCTTATAAGGGTTCCTTTTTTATCCTTTGAGGTACGGAACCCTAAAAATGGTAGGTGTATTCTAAGGGAGTTGTCCAGTAATGGCTTTTTATTCTTCAAAAATTCCAGACTTGCTGAGATCTAATATTATAATTTATCACATTAAATTTTGAATAACTGCAATTTTAAGAACATAACATTTTTTTAGAATATTTAAAAAAAGGCCGAATAGGGACAAAACTTTTGCTACCGAAGCCCAATAAATATAAAATGAAAAGTTTGACAATTAATTGTCTCTGATGCGTCACGCGTGACAAATGGATGACGGTTCTGGTTCTGTTTATGCACTTGTTGACAATTTGTTTGTTATCATTCTTTATGTTTACTTTGAGTGGGTTAAGAAGAAATGTGAGATTTCCACAAATATAAAGAGAAATTCGTAGACTACGTCATGTACAGGCGTAAAGTAATACCTACCCAGGATTTATCTTGTGAATAATACAATAAAATATCCTCCAATAAAATATTTACTCACATAAAATAACTTTTATTTTTCTTTTACATGCAGGATTTAAAAATTGTTATCTAACTAATTATCTATTTTAGCGGCTATATATCAGTGTAATTTGAGCCATAATGTATTTTACCCAGAACAAAAACTAACGCCCATACAAAAACTGGACATCTTTAAAATAAACTCTATGAATAGTATATCAGGTTTTTTTATTAAAACCTTGAACGCTATGAAAGTTCACGCTAAAGTATGTTGTGTACTTCGTAAGAATTGATATGTAATCTGTGGTTAAACTAAAACATTGAAGAAATAATTAGGTTTAGAGACAGCAAACAATTTCTTTACGCATTATCATTCGCTTTGGGAAGACTGACCTATGATCAGTGTGATTTTGTCCATATATTTCTATGTTTTAAATAAATTATTATTAAAACACGGGTACTTTCGTACGTTCATGACGAGAATTCTAAATTTTTCAACATTCGTAATCATATATATTATAAGCATGATTTATATATTTATATACGATACTTGGAATAAGTACCTATAGATAACATTGTAAAAATTTGATCATGTAGTTTGGATACGTTTCCATATAATGTTCTTATGACAGTTCCAACTATACTGGAAACGTTTAGCAACAAAACTTTATAAATTACTAGCTGACCCGGCAAACGTTGTTTTGCCGTATATTTCAAATTTCTTTTGTCAAAAAAATATTCAAAAAAATTAGGTGTATGAAAAATAGATGTTGGCCGATTCTCAGTCCTACCCGATATGCACACAAAATTTCACAAAAATCGGTCGAGCCGTTTCGGAGGAGTTCAACCACGCACTCCGTGACACGAGAATTTTATATATTAGATGGTGGAGTTAAACAACCAACCGATATCTAGTTTATTTAAATTTATTTAAAGTTTAATGCACATGTTGTACAAAGCGGACTTAATGCCATGAGGCATTCTCTCAACGTCGACCTTCAGGTGGTGTAGAAATATGATGCAAAGACAAAGTGCACTACACGGATGGCGTAGTGGTTTAAGCGGTCGCCACGCCGCTTTCTATTGCGCCGAGTGTTGTGGGTTCAAACCCCACATGGGATAACACTTTGTGTGATCCACAAATTGTTGTTCTGAGTCTGGGTGTACTTTGTGTAAGTTTCATGTATGTTTGTAAAGTCCCCCGCGACACACCATTTACTCCTAGAGCGGGAGTTGTCTTTTTAAAAATAAAAAAAAGTTAAATTTGTGGTAGTTAACAGTAGTTTGGTAAATGATAGATAAAACTACATTAGATGTATATACATATAAAACTAATATACATAAATACATATAGACTTAAACATTGAAAGATCTTTTATAACTTTTTTTTTTTGTATTTTGCTTATCTCACTCTAATTGTAAGGAAATGATTACAGTCCAACATTGAAATAAAAAAACAAACCCGAGTTTAATTTGTAGATTAAAAATATCGTAAGTGTTGCTAGCGTTTTGCAAAACTGTGTTATATAATACCGGTGACCGGATCACGAGAATATCCGTATAGGTTTACAGGTTATATCCTCTTTGGTAGTGATATAATAGACAACTAAGTTGAATAACTTTTTAATTATTTTGATTAATTAATTTGTATTCATAATTATATTTTGAAGTATATACCTAATATTAAAAATCAGCAAATATAAATGTAATACTTATTACTAGTGTTCTGCTTAGTTGTAAATCTATACAAATAAATAAAAATGAAATGTCTGTTTGTAATGTCAAATTAATAGGTTTTTTTCATGCTCACAAGGTTATTTGCACGATACCTACCTATGCCAAAAAACCAGTTCAAAATATTTTTGTCTGTCTGTATTACCTATATAATAGTTAGTAATATCTTTTAAAACATATCAAATCGTACGGATTTGGTTTACTTCACGAATACAATCTTTAATGACGCACTGTCTAAAAACAGTAAGTAACCAAAATTTATCATGGTTTATTTTTAAAGATCTCCCGAACGCAAGATAATTTTCCGCGAGGAAGTAACACGAAGAACACGTTTTTTCTGTTCGGCAATCCCTTCGGATACCACCCACCGGTGGGGTGGTTGTGTCGGACTCGAACCGACCAAAAATCGCAAGCCGTCACGGGTACCAGTTGCCGGGGAACCAGGTGTACCCTAAAGAGGAAATCCCTGGTACCTTTGGCCATCTATAGCGTGTTAATTGCCCCCATCATATGTGGAAACCTCCAAACAAAGAAAACCTAGACCATCCATACAGAACAACTATTTGTGGTTTACACATTCTTGTATTACGTGTTGGACTTTAACTACGAATTTACTACTTTAACTATTGTCCTACCCATGCTGTCTACTTTTCTCACACACGGCCGTCTGATCCCAAACTAGGCAGAGCCTGTACTATGGCAACCAGACTGCTGATAAACATACTTATGACGGTGCTCATAACACAATATTTGTCCTCGGTGGGAATCGAACCCACGACCTCCGGTTTAGCAGTCAGGGTCACTAACCACTAGACTAATAGGCCCGTCTATCTGCAGTCTTCTATCGATTAACTTAATGAAAATGTAAAAACTAATGCTCAACCTGAGAAAAAAGATTTCTTGATGAGAATACCCCTAACACCATTCACCATATTCATTCACAGCCTTCGAAATATTTTAAGCCGTTTAAGAGCTAAGACGACTAAAAGTTAATAAAATATAACTGACCTGTCTGTATGGGTCTGTGTCTCGAGCTGGATAAGGACACCGGGAAGTGTATACACATAACTTGTTTCTGGTCGGACCTCTCTTCACAAGGACTTTCTGCAGTTTCTTCGATTTATGTGTCTCGTCATCTAATCCTAATTTATCAAAATCTTCGGCTAAATCATTACATTTGTCCGCATCGGTTTTATCTGAATCCGGCAATTTGTCGAAGCTTTCTGATTTATCGGAGTTCTCCGATTTTTCTGAGAACCCACTGTCACCTGAAGAATGCGAGTGTATTCTTTCATTTCTAGATACTGTGATTACTTTGATATTAAAATTGCCCAGTTCATTCTCTTCTTCTTCTTCGTCAATATTTTCTTCTTTTTGAGGTTCTTTGTCCTCAATGTCAACTTTTTTTAATTTATCAACTATGCGTTTAACTTCATCAGTATCATCAGAATCATCAGATTTGGTTTCTTTCTTAGGCTCGTGACGATCATGTATCTCTTTTAGCTGTTCTGCCTTCGTTACTTTGTCTTTTTTCTTACGAAACAATAATTTGAAACGAGATTTAAATGATTTTTTATCTGTATTCTCTTCCATTGGTACTGGCTTTGCTGAAGACTCAGTTGGACTTCCCATAATTTTTTTGATAATTTTGATTATTTTTCTTTGACTTTGATATCCAATACTGACATCTGTAACAAAAGATATTGAATTTTAATTACTATTATCATACATAATATTATTACTTTTAATGACAGATATATAATTTCTGTAAAAACTAACAGATAACCTATACATAGGTGTGAATCGGTCAGAGAGCTCGCTTATCTTTCATCAACCGCTCCGGCTATTGAGGCCGTGGTACCACTCCCGTCGAGCCAGCCCATTTGTGCCAAAGGATTTAGCTCCCACGGTAAAATCTCTCGTCTCTTTCGTCATACCTCCAATTTAGAAAAGAGATATACTGTATATCAGGATCGTAGAAAATGGTACTCTATTGTCCCTATCTACCCCTGACGATTAGAACTGCATGTTAAATTTTACAAAGCATCCTACGCGAAAATAAGTTTAACTATGTTTAATAAAACATTTATTTAGACCTTGAGACATTCTTATGTCTCGTAAATAATTTAATGTTATGACTTTATCCTCCTAGCAAATTCTTGAGCTTGATTTTTCCGTCTTTTTTTAGAATAGAATAACGGTCACCGATAATTTCCCAACTTTGACGTAGGAAATGTGCGAAAAAAAAATGGTATTCCCAATACACGGTATTATTTTGACGTTTACAAACACCTAAAATTACATTATCTCATGTAAGACCTAGGTAACCACCAATCCGGTCAAACAATGTGCATTTTGGCGCGAATCCAATGCGAATAAGTCTTGATCTAAATATAAACCGTTTTGTTTTCTTGTGAGATGCTTTCTGAGAAAACGGGTACAACCTTGTATAATTTTTTGCCACATTTACATCTAATCAACACGTTAGGAACAGTCTTTCTTTTAGTTTTGTGGACGCCATCTTGCGCAATGGCCATTTTTTTCATCGGCAAGGATCATACGGCCTGAATTATTGATAGTAGTATGCAACACTTATTTTTAATTACAGATTATGTACTCGTTTAGGCGGTCTTTAGAAAGTTGAAGTACAAGACATAAATAGTTCATGTTTTATTTATTTTCTCGTTTAAATAAGATGTCACGGTTAGTAGAAAGAGTAGGCACGGCTAGATATTGCTTTTTTTAAACATTGCCAAGGAGGCGTATTATAAGACCATAATACAGGTATTAGCGGTCGTTGACATTTTCACAAAAGTATTTGTCGAGTAAAAAAAAGCAGATCAATAAATCATTGTCGGGTTTCTTGGTCTAGCGGTTAGTGACCCTTCTAAGCCAGTGGTCGTGGGTTCAATTCCTACCCAGGACAAATAATTATGTGATGAGCACGATAATTTGCTCTTTCTGGGTGTAATTTTTACATAGTATAAAATAAAGTCTCTTTTTTGTGTTGTATGCTTATATATGCGGCGAGTCATGGTCTCAAGTATAATGCCAAAAAGAGCGAGTTTATGGTCTTTAAAGCTGGTACCAAATGCTACTCAATTGTACCTCCAGTCACTCTTTGCGGAACTCCTTTAAAGAGAGTTTATAAGTTTAAGTACCTTGGGCATTGGGTCGCCGATGACTTATCAGATGACCTTGATATTGAGAGGGAGCGTAGGGCGCTGTCTGTCCGGTGTAATATGTTGGCTCACAGGTTCGCACGTTGTACCACACCAGTAAAACTTACTCTTTTCAAAGCATATTGTCAGTCCTTCTACACGTGCAGCCTGTGGACTAACTTTACTCAGCGGGCGTACAGCGCACTACGCGTCCAGTACAACAATGCTTTCAGGATGCTATTGAATCTGTCGAGGTTTTGCAGTGCATCAAACATGTTCGCGGAGGCACGTTGCGATGACTTTTATGCAATCATAAGGAAGCGAAGCGCGTCAATGTCCAATCGACTGCTAAGCAGCACCAATGGCATCCTGAGAGTATTGTCCGAGAGGTGGGATCTTCCAATCCTACAAAGGTGGATGCGTCTGCATGCTAGCGCATCCCCACGATTTATTTTTTAATTTGTTTTGTGTTAATGTAGAACTAACATAGTTGTAAGATTACTGTTACTAACATATCTATGGACTAATGTCTGAAAATAAATAAATTTATTATTATTAGGTCTTTTAAACTAAGCAACGGATTTTAATGCGGTTTTCACCAATAGAGACAACGATTTAAGAGGAAAGTTTTAATGTATAATACATGCATATTATAGTAGAGAAAAGCCGAGAAATTCAAAGATTTGTTTAAAAAAAAATATGGTTTTGCGTTCTTACATTGCAAACGCTGGCTAAACCTTACGAGAAAGACCAAAACATTGTACTGCGCAATTGTACTCGTATATCTTAAAAAGATGTACAAAAAAGTCTGCGATGGTATATGTCTAGCTCCTAAGGGTAACCCACTGGTAACTATTTTTATCCTTTTAATATTACAAAAAAATGGGTTTTCACGAAGCTATTTTTAACAATACATTATTATTCCTTATCTAATTAAATACATTAGATACGTTGTGCATTTAATGTAGATTAAAATTACTTTTTACAGCATATTTTTAAGATGATTTAGACGATATTAGAGGTTTAAAATGCGGGGGCCCAGCGACCGTCGAGCCGTACGTCCGTACCGGGTGGCAGTATCAGGGCGGGAGTATAAATATTGCATTTAAAGATGTCCTGTAGTTAGACTGCACGAATGGCGTAGTGGTTTAAGCGGTCGCCATGCCGCTTACTACTACGCTAAGTGTTGTGGGTCCGATCCCCACATGGGACTACACTTTGTGTATTTTTGTTCTTCTGAGTGTTGTTCTGTGTCTGAATTGTTGTTCTGAGTCTGGGTGTTCTTTGTGTCCGTTTCATGCATGTTTGTAAAGTCCCCCGCGACACAGGATATTCTTATTATTAATGCAGGAGTTGTTTTATAAAAAGTCCTATCATAATAAAAATAGTTTAATTAACCCACACTGACACCACATAGGTAGTATCAGTAGTATCTACATTGCACCCGTGCGGAGCCGGGGTGGATCGTTAGTTGATCTATAATTGGTATATATGTAGAAGTATATGTATATCTAGTTAGCCTTCCTTATTAAATTAATTAATTATTTGTATCTATAATTAGTCTGGTCCGTGTGGTGACGGATTAAGAATACAGAGTGTCACCACCCCTATTCATCCCGCGGGTGTCGTAAGAGTCGACTAAGGGAGAAAACTACGCAGAACAACAGCACTGCGGCAGAAGGAAAACTTGACACAAACCCTATACCAACCTCCTTTCTAAGGAGAGGCTTATGTCCAGCAGTGGACTATTAAAGGCTGTTTTTATTTTTATTTTTTTTTACTTAATTGGTACAGTTACAGACTACAGATCATGCCCCACACAGTAATAAGTAACAGCGTATAATTTCAAATCTGAAGTCCAATTAAAACTATACACATCATTCATAATCGCGGTCATAGAGCTTCAATTAAGTGTTAAACAAACGCAAAAAAAAAGATTATTAAATAAGAATATGAGATGCAGCAAAGTGACTAATTAGTTATATCTACAAATGTGTTACTATAATTTTACATTGATAGGTTTATACATTTCAGATTTATGTAAAAATCACTTGAATACATTTATACTATCACTAGCTGACCCGGCAAACGTTGTATTGCAAAACAAAAAAAAATTAGGGATGGGTCACCCTTACCATTTAGGGGTATGAAAAATAGATGATGGCCGATTCTCAGACCTACCCGATGTGCACACAAAATTTCATGAGAATCGGTCAAGCCGTTTCGGAGGAGTACGGGAACGAACATTGTGACACGAGAATTTTATATATAAGATTAAAAAAGCCGTGTGGTGTCGTGGGACACCCGATAGGAACGAAGTTGTAACGATCGAGTAAAACTGATTCGGCACATTTTAATTACACCACCATCTATGAAAGTGGCTATTACCTACATATTTTTCAGTTGGTTTCTAATTAAAACAATTTATACATTGGTAAAATCTCCTTGAGAAATGATTTCCTATCTATTCGATAGATGGCGCTGAATGACTGACATAAAAAGATAGAAATGAAAATATCTGGCTTGCTTTCTATAAGAGGGAGAGACACAGACAGAGAAACATGCGACGCCGCACAGCTTACAATAGCTTACTATAGCAAAAAGTGTCGTGACCACTTTTCGTAAGAATTTTTTCCGTCTAGCCCCCTTTCACAACGCGCGATAAGGAACTTCGTTCCAAAAATATATATTTGAGAACATATATCGTTATAACGACTACACATTCGAAAAACCGCATTGTTGCGTGATACATTGTTGTTTCTAGTTGGTATAGTAAACAGTAATTGATAGTAATCAGTCTGAAATTACAGAAATTGTTTCTTAGTTTTTAAGTAGAACAATACGATGGAACCAACTGCTTATTTATTTCCTCATTTATTTCATATACCCATTTGCTAAATAACAGGATAATGATAGACCGAACACCGTTCTATAATTGTATATTATTATAATTATATGTGAAAATATAATGTGTAACTATCCGTGTGGTGACGGATCCACCCACAGAAAACTTAATAATAAGACACTAGAAATGAATTAGCGCTCGATTAGTTCCAAAACCGATGTCGCCACATCTTAACACATACACAAAATACAAACAAAAAGGTAAAATTCAAATGGTTTATTTCAGACATAGTCCATAGGGTTGGTATAAACAAAGTAACTTAAGGACTTAAATTAGTAAACACAATCAATTATTATGGTGACTGGTGTGGATCTTTGCCCAGTGGCGCAACAGAGGGGAGTCCCACCGATCCATAAACACCTTCAGGACACTGTTAGTAGCGGTGCGCAAACGGCCGGCCATGGATGCGGTCCTCTTTCTTAAAATTGCGTAAAAGTCGTCTGTGTGCGCCTCCGGAAACATACCGGATGCACTACAACGCCACGACAGCCCCACAGACTCACACACACTTGCAAAAACATACCGACAACTAGACACTAGGGAATAAAATCACAACCATATTCGAT